AGTGGTTCTGTTTAGCCCAAGGTTTCACATTCTGAGGTACTAGTTGTTTATGGGTAAGCTTAGCTCAGAAATGTTAAATGAGCTGGGTGGTGCTGGTGTACACTTTTAATCCTAGCACTCAGAGACAGATGGATCTCTGTGAGTTCAAAGCCAGCCTACACCTGTCTCTAGAAACCCTGTCTCTAAAAACAAACAAAACAAAACCCAAAGAAAAAGAAGGAAAAATATTAAATGGTAAAATTAGCAAATGAACAATTCATAAGTTTTTAACTGTACACAGTTCAGAGTAATGCTGTTAAATCTAACATTATTCCGCACCATTCCGAATGAGATGTGAAATATCTATTTTCTGAGTATTCATACGGCACGCGTCCTGCGGTGGTGTGAATGAGAATGGCTTCCACAAGCTCCTGTACTTGAATGCGTGGTCCCTAGTGAGTCTAAAGGATTAGGGTGTGTGGCATTACATAAGGAGGCTCTGAGGTTTCAGAAGCCCACACCAGGCCCAGTCCCCTCTGCCCGCTGCCTGTGGATCAGGATATGAAGTTCTCGGCCACTGCCGCAGCACCATGCCTGCCTGCTTCCTGCCTTGTATGTAGGAATGGTCCCAGAGGGCCAGAGTGATGCTGACAGCCTTACTCACTGTCTCTGTAAGTTATTCTGTTGTCATTTATGGTTCACCTCTTGCTGTGTTACGCTTAATTTATAAACTTTCTCAGCGATATAAGAAAAATAAAACCGCACATTCTTCAGTGCTCTTAGCAGATGCCCTGAAGCCTGACTTTATAAACTCTGAAATGGCAAATATTTACATACAATCCATGCATGCCTTCCCAGATGCTTTGACTTATCTGAGACAGGGTTTTTCTGTAGCTATGGAGCCTGTCCTGGAACTTGCTCTGCAGACCAGGCTGGCCTCGAACTCACAGAGATCCACCTGCCTCTGCCTCCCAAGTGCTGGGATTAAAGACGTGCGCCACTACCACCACCCGGCCTTATCTTCATTTTTAAAAGTCATTTTTAGGTTACTAATAATGATAATACAATGTAAATGCTATATAAATAGTTCTCATTACTATATTTATTTAGAAAATAAAGACAAAAAAGCCTGCATATGTGCAGAACTAACAAACGGCGTAGGTCTAACTATGTACTGTACAAGTGAGACCTGGAGAGAGACTGGAGATCTGTTCAGGAGCTGCAGCTGGTCATCTTAAATATCACTCCTTCATGTGGATTCATGGTAGTGGTTAGTGTGGCAAATTCAAGTTTTGTTCTTTGAAATTTTCTGAATTTCTCCCAAGTAGTTTTAGGTCATGTTTAGGTTTATATACAAATCTGGACCCACATATTAGGAGTAGTAATTCTCTGTTCAGTGCTATTAGAAGCATCCTGTAATATAGCTCCTTGGACGGGGAGGTGTACTATATTAGTTTTGTTTTTTAGGGGGTGTGTATATGTGTGTGTGTGTGCATATATTTGTGCGTGTCTGTGCATGAGATGGGGTCAGTGCCTTGCTACATATGTAGAGATCTGAGACATATTTTGCTAATTAGTTTTCCTTCCACCATCTTACCAGCCTAGTTTTTAATAATCTTAATAAGAGAAGATAATCTATAGGCCCTCAAAATATTTATATAGATCTTGTGTTTAAAAAACATTATTAATTGTATGTGTGTTGAAATAAGTTCCGTTTTGAGTTTAACAAATTCTTGGGTTTTTTTTTTTTTTTTTTAACAAATTGTTTGATTTTCCAGACAGGGTTTCTCTGTGTGTAGTATTGGCTGTTCTGGAACTTGCTCTGTAGACCAGGCTGGTCTTGAACTGGAACTAGCTCTTGTAGATCAGGCTGACCTCGAATTCATGAAGATCCACCTACCTGCCTCTGTCTCCTGAGTGCTGGGATTAGAGGTGTGAGCCACACCACCTGGCTGAATTTAACACATTCTTAAGTGAGCTGTTTCGTACTGGGTACAGTTTTATAACAGAAGAGCTAGATTAAACATTTACTCTTCGATACTTTACAGTATTGGGCAGCCATTATCTCTGTGTAGTTCCAAAACATTTCGTCACCCCCCAAGGGATCCTCCATCTAATGAGAAGTAACTAACTCCCTTTTCCTCTTTTTCCTGTGCCTGGCCTCTCCTAACCTGCTTCTTGTCTCTCTGGGTCTGCCTGTTCTGGATATGAATGGAATCATGAAATATGTGACCATTTTTAGGTGTCCCATATCTGCTTATTGACTCACAAGTGTGAGCATTTGCATTTCTGCTTGTAGTTATGGTGTCTAGTGATGCTGTTGATGTTTCTGTGGGAGTTTTGATTTGACCGCCGACTTTCAGTTCTTTTTGTGTCTGCCTAGGAGTGAACTGCTGAATGTGAAAATTCTGAGCTTTTGAGGATCTACTAAATGGTTAACGTTACATCAGTGCCATTTCATATTCCCATTAGCAGTGTATAACCTTTAGTCTTTTCTTCTTCCTGTTTCATCTTTAAAAAGAATTATAGGCATGCTAGTAACCTTAGTTGAGGTGGGATTTAGTTGTTTGGAGGAAGACAGGGGTCAGTTGGTTGGCTTTCTTTCTGTGGTGCTGGAGAGCAAATCCAGGGCCTTGCACATTCTAGGCACACACTCTGCCACTGAGTTAGATCCCTAGCCAGGATGGGTGTCTGTACACAATCTTCCATCTATAGTAAATCACTATATGCTGTAAGAGTTGTTAACTAGTTATCCGTATGTTAAACACTCTGCTACTGAGTTAGATCCCTAGCCAGTATGGGTGTCTGTACACAATCTATCTTTCCATCTATAGTAAATTACTATATGCTGTAAGGGTTGTTAACAACAGTTATCCGTATGTTAAAAAGTCTGTTAGTATTTAGTAATTGTCTTATAATTTAAGAATATTTCACCTCATTTACATATTCTTCTCTAGAAATACTGGTTTTGGCATTTTGTTAGGCTGTGCAAAATTTGAGATAAATTTTCTGGAGAAACCCTGCCATTGAGGTTTCATATTTGTTATAGAAAGTTCTAGTTTGAACACAACTAAGAAAATTTTAATATATATTATGCTTGATTTTAATTGACTATAAGGAATGATAAAATTGTCAGTCAAAATGGTGTGTGCTTTTAATCCCAGCACCAGTGAGGCTCAACCTCAGCCTCACTGATGATGATCTTTGTGAGTTCAAAGCCAGACTGGTTTACAAAGTGAATTAGACACAGTGAGACCCCCCCCTTTAAAAAAAAAGTCTAAACAAACAAGAAAGAAACAAGCAAACAAGAATGATAAGTTTAAAAGTTCAAAATATAGTGTATTTTATTTCGATTGAATGGAAAGAATGATTAAGTGTAGGTAGCTGTGGCCTTGCCACTCATAGGAGATCTCACTGTACGTTAGACTGCTGACTTTTAAGTGGTTATTTTGTGTTCTGTAAAGACTGCTGCCTTGCATATGTACTGCCTGGATCTAGTTGTTCTTTATAGCTATTTAAAGCATGCTGACAAATACATCCTTCAGCTTCTCTTTGTCTGTTCCTATTCTTCACAGAGCTACTGCAGCTGAATCCTTGTTTTCTTACTGCTCCTTGTAAGCGTATTCTAGTTAGTGGACATCTATCCCTAAGGGTATTTGCTGTCGATAAGATCTGACCCCTAAAATGGAGCCATCATATAAACGTTTCCATGCTCATGATAGCCTTGTAATTTAGCTACTTGTCTTCTGCTAGCAGTAAACATGGGTTCACGTAGAAAGAATTTTTCTCAAGGTCAGGTAAGGAGAGAGAGGGACTGAGCTTCAGGTTCAATTTAGATTTAGCTGCCCACAAAGAAAGGTCCTTTTCATTAATATTAAAGATATCAATATTGATGACCCATTTTGTTTTGTTTCTCTGTAGCTTTGGAGTCTGTCCTGGAACTTGCTCTTGTAGACCAGGCTGGTCTCGAACTCACAGAGATCCACCTGCCTCTGCCTCCCGAGTGCTGGGATTAAAGGCCTGCGTCACCACTGCCTGGCTTAATACTAATGATCTTAATTAGCATTGGCTGCGTAGAACTGTGTACTTTTCTAAGCACTTAGACTCCCATCCAGTTTCATAACCGAAATGTGAGCTATGGGTACTTCTTATAAATGAGGAAACGAGGCACACAAGAGTCAAGCAACCTGTTGAAGCTACTGAACTCATGGTTTAAAGCCACATTTTAAAGCAAAATATGAAGCTGGGCTTAGTGGTGCACACCTGTAGTCCCAGCATTTAGGAGGCAGAGGCAGAAGGATTGCCCTGAGTTCAAGGTCAGCCTCAGCTACTGCCCTTAGTTTTTTTTTTTTTTTTTTTTTTAATTTTTTTGTGATAGAAAGACTCTCAAAGTCCACCCCCAGTGACTCACACCCTCCAATAAGATCACACCTCCTAACCCTTCCCAAATAGTTCCTCCAGCTGGGGAGGGTGCCGTTCTCATCCAAACCACTACAGCTACCTGGCAAGAGCCCTTTCTTTTTAAAAATAATATAGTTCAAAATTCTAGTTCTGTGTGCTTAAATATACTGTCTTGTTCTGTGATATGGTTGATATTTTATATGTTTTAATTAAATATGAATGTTGGGGCCAGGATATGTGTGTGTATGGTTGCAGGTACCCTCAGAAGCCAGAGAAGGTGTCAGGTCATACAGAGCTGGAGTTACAGGTGATTGTGAACTGTGTGATATGGGTGCTGGGACTCTGAAAGAGCAGTATATACTCTTCATCAGTGATCCTTCTTTCCAGCACCTAGTTGATATTTTCATAATTAGGACCATTCCTGACAGATATTTTAAGTTTACATAAGACAGTCTGTGATCAAAACATGTCATTTATAACTATCACAAATTGATTAATTTTTTCTCTAATTTTTTTAATGCAAAAATATTACTGATTTGATTGCATATTAATAATTAATATAGCTGTTGTAAAGGCTATTTTGTCAGTATTAAATAAAATACTTTTCTGTTTTCTTTTAGGTCCACCTCATTCATTTAATCGAGACGAGACGATAATCATTGCTTTGGCATCAGTCTCTGTATTAGCTGTTTTGATAGTCGCCTTATGTTTTGGATACAGACTATTGACAGGTAAAAAAAAAATAGTATTTTTTTATCTCGGTTAAGAAAATGCCATTTAAATCAGAATTTGTTTTCTTTAAAAAATTTCTTTTACAGAGATCTGCCTATCTTTGCTTCCTGAGTGCTGGGTGTGCCACCCCCACCCAGCTTGTTGGCAAGCATCTTTACCAGCTGAGCCATCTTGCCTTCCCTGTTGCTTCTTTTTTAAAAAATGTTTGTGGAAAATGTTTATACAAACAGAAACTGAGCTATAGTAGCTCCAATTCTCAGCTTCAACAAACATTTCTCCCCAGTTTTTACAAGAAGTTTTTTTAAATTTTTATTTTTATTCATGTGTCTGCCTGTGACTCTGTATGTCATGACGTGTGTGTTCCCTGAGGAGGCCGGAGATGGCATTGCATGTCTTAGAGCTAGAGTTAAAGGTGGTTGTGAGCCACCTAATGTGGGTGCTGAGACGTGAACTCAGCTCTTTGGAAAGCCTAGCAAGCTCTCTTAAAGCTGAGCCATCCCTTCAGCCCAGACAGGATATTTTTTTTTTAAGATTTATTTTATGTGTCTGTGAGTGCTCTCTTGGCTTTATGCCAGAAGAAGCCATCAGATTCCATCATAGATGGTTGTGAGCCACCCTGTGGGTGCTGGGAATTGAGCTCAAGAACCTTTAGAAGAGCAGCCAGTGCTTTTGACTGCTGAGCCCTCTTTCCAGCTCCCGTCCAACAAGAGGTTTTAAACTTACCCAAAATGTGTGTTACCCAGCTGCAACAGTTAATACTTGCAGGCAAGGTTACTTAACTCTAAATCCGCACTCACTACGCCTTTCATATCACTGAACTCTTTTAGTCAAAGCACAGATACCAGAGATCTGTAAGTACTTTTGTATTATCTCTGTAACAACTTAAAAACTGTACATCCATAATGCTATTTTTTTAAATGAAAAATTCAGTAATTTTTCACTAGGTCAGTTCTAATAATTTTTTTAAGGATTTTATTTTTACTTCATGTGCAGTGGTATTTTGCGAGAGTGTCAGACTTTGGAATTACAGACAGTTGTGAGCCGCTGTGTGGGTGCTGGGAATGGAACCTCTGTCTGCTAGAAGAACAATCAGTGCTCTAACCACTGAGCCATCTCTCAGGACCCCAGTTCTGATAAATCTTAGGTGTGATGGGTTGTTTAGGAAATCAGCACCTACTCATTCATTTGAATAATTCTGTGAAAATTTTCTTGAATTCAGTATTAGGATTTTACACTTTAATACTGCGTCTTCGTGGAATTATCTCACAGAACCCACTCTCCCGGTGCTTAGGACTCCTCTTCACTTGTCAGTGATCCCTGTCTTAATGAGTTGTTCTAACCCCTGCTGTAGCTCTTAACTGCAATACTAGAAAGGTGGCGTTTTCATGCTAAGAAGGTCTCCCATCAGTAATCCCTTACTCTTCCAGGAGACCGGAAGCAGGGTCTTCACAGCATGAACATGATGGAGGCCGCAGCCTCAGAGCCGTCTCTGGACCTGGATAACCTGAAGCTCCTGGAGGTGAGGCTGTGCTGTCGGCGACTGTTGGCTGGCACGGTTGCTCCTCCTTGTCCTCCTGAAGTGTCAGGAGCTGGTGGTGCACACCGGTAATTCCAGCAGTCAGGAAGCAGAAGCAAGAGGATATCCTCAGGTTCCAGGCCAACCTGGTCTGTGTAGCAAGTTCCAGGGTAATTTTATAGTTCCAGGTATATTTATAGCGAGACCCTTTTAAAAATAAAGTGAAGGAACCAGTCTATGGTAGCCCACGCCTTAAATCCCAGCACTCGGGAGGCAGAGGCAGGTGGATCTCTGAGTTTGAGGCCAGCCTGGTCTACAGAGTGCATTCCATGACAGCCAGTACTGTTGCATAGAGAAACCCTGTCTCTAAAACCAAAAAACAAACAAATAAACCACATAAAAAGAAAAGAGAAAAGAAAAGACAGTAGATCCCCCAACCTGTTTTAATGAAAATTCCCCAGAAGTCCAAAATAAAGAGACTGGTGACATTTTGCTATTGCTATTTCTTTGTGCATGGAGTAGATTTGTATTCTAGGTACTGTGTGTAAGCTCCCAGATTCTTGCTAATTTCTAATGGTTACAGTTTTTTAGAAATTTATTTTAGTTATCTGTGTGCATATGCATATGACCTGTGGGGGTTAGGAAGGGGTGTTGGGTCTCCTGGACCTGGAATTACAGGTCACTGTGAGCCACTCCTCACAGCTGTGAGGTGGGTGCTGGGAACCGAGCTTAGGCCCTCTGGAAGGTTAGAACATCCTGTCAACCACCGAGTATCTCTCCAGCCCTGTGTGTTGATTTTTGTAAGCTATTAACTGGTGGACACAGATTACAAACCTAACACTTGGGCAGAAGTCCAAATCTTAGTTCAGTTATTATATTTAGCTAGAATCAGTGTTCACTGGATTCTCTTGTTCTGGTTTCATCCTTTTGAGGCTTCTTCCCCTCACTCTGTAGAAGCTCTCCTCGTTCAAACGACCCTCCTATACCATTTTCAGTTGCATTGCTCAAAGCTGAGTAGTCTGCCTTCCAGCTGAAGGCCATAGCAGCTGGTAGCTCACCACATGGGTCTCTTTCTTCTATGCTTTGGTGCCTTTTACACTCTTAACTCCTCAGTGTATTTAGGTTTTTCTTGTAGTTCTGTCCAGTGTTTAGCTTTCATCTATTGGAAGGTTAGTGAGGTAGACAGTTCCTCAGTCTTTCCATACACAGATATTGGTCGGTTGCTTCTCGGTACTGGGATAAACTGAAGGCAAAAGAGAGCTGCTGTATATAGTGGGGAATTAGGGTTTGTTTGTTTTTTTTTCTTTTAAGTATTTAATTGTTCAATATTAATATGAATTAATTAATACCTTGCCTTTTTAAAAACAAACTTGCAGCTGATTGGACGGGGCCGATATGGAGCAGTGTATAAAGGTTCCTTGGATGAGCGTCCAGTTGCTGTAAAAGTATTTTCTTTTGCAAACCGTCAGAACTTTATAAATGAAAAAAACATTTACAGAGTGCCTTTGATGGAGCATGACAACATTGCTCGCTTTATAGTTGGAGATGAGAGACTCACTGCAGATGGACGCATGGAGTATTTGCTGGTGATGGAGTATTATCCCAACGTAAGTTCTTCATAAAAAGTTTGTCATTTATTGTGCTTTCTGTTAGATTTTTTTGAATGTGTTACAGAGTTTTGCTTGTTTATAAATGTGTTATTAGTGTTCTGTTATTAGTGAAATAAGATCTTATGTCAGAATTTGAATCAGATACATCATTCTGCCAGGTATCATGGCACATGTCTGTGATCCTAGCACCAGAAAGGAGGCCAAGGTGGAATGACTGTGAATTCAGGCCAGCCTGGGCTATTACTCTAAGACCCCATCTTATTTTTTAAAGATTTATTTATTATGTGTACAGCATTCCTTCCATGTGTGCCCGCACACCAGAAGGGGGCGCCAGGTCTCATTATAGATGGCTGTGAGCCACCATGTGGTTACTGGGAATTGAACTCAGGACCTCTGGAAGAGCAGCCAGTGCACTTAACCTCTGAGCCATCTCTCCAGCCCTAAGACCCCCATCTTAAATAACATCAAAACACTAATGATTCTTTTTATTTGTCTCTCTTCTCTCATTTTTCCTTTTCTTCACTCCTTCTATTCCTCCCTCATGCCTTCCTTTCCTTACCCTTCCCTCTTCCCTTCTCTTTAACTTTCTCTCTTTCTTTAGCCAGACCTTTTCATCAGACCTTACAGTACCTTGATTGATATTCATTCTTGTGTAAGCTCCTTGCCTAATCAGAAGCTCATTGTAATTTGTAGGTGAATACTTTGAGGTGAACAGATACATACATATAGTCATCCCTTAGCATCCTCAGGCACACACACACACACGCACCCCAAAATCACAGCTGTTCAGGCTCCTTATAGAAAATGCCATGTAGCGTGTGCTTATTACTCATTCATATCTTTCTTATTATACCATGTAAATGCCATGTTAGTAGTTGTTATATCATTTATTTAGGAAACAATGATAAGAAAAAATAATGTTTTGTACAGATGTAAAGATTCTTTGGGTTGTTATTTGTTTGTTTTTCCTGACTCTATTGGAGATAAAACCAGGGTCTGGGTAAACCGAGCGAGTACTTTTCCATCAGGCCACATCTCTATCTCTGAGTATTTTTTATGTAGCTGATTGACCCCAGGATGTGAAGCCTGTAGGTATAGAGGGCTGACGGTATAGATTTATAGGAGACATATGTGTTCTACTTAAAAACTGTAACAATATTGTTTATAAAATTTTGGCTTAAATTTTTTCCCAAGTTAATCTGATAGCCCAAAGAAATGTTTAAGAGGAAGTAACCTTCCGTAATTTAATATTTGAAACCTAAAAACTGATACTTAAGTTCCTTCTTTCCGCTGCCTAGTTGGGGTTTCTGTTGCTGGGATGAGACTGTGACCGAAAGCGAGTTGGGGGGGAAAGGGTTACTCAGCTTACTCTCCCACATCACTGCTCACCCTCTCTGGGACTCACCCAGGTCAGGAGCCTGGAGGTAGGAGCTGTGCAGAGGCCATGGAGGGTGCCACTTACTGGCTTGCTCATCCTTCTTTCTTGATTTTTGTGGGTGTTCTTGTTGTTGCTGTTGTTGTTGATTGTTTCCAGACAGGGTCCTTGAACTCACTGTGTAGACCAGGCTGGCGTTAAATTCAGAGATTCACCTGCCTCTGCCTCTCAAGTGGTGGTGGCATTAGTGTGTGCCACTGTAGTTGACTTGTTTTGTTTTGTTTTGTGGTCATTCGGCGTTTTTGTAAAACCTCAAGACCACCTGCCCGGTAGTGACCCAACCCACAATGGTCTGGGCCCGCCCACATCAATCACTGATTAGGAAAATGCTCTACAGGCTTGGCTGCAGCCTGATTATATGGAGGCATTTTCTCAGTTAAGGTTCCCTCTTCCCAGGGACTTCAGCTTGTGTCAGAGTTTACATGAAACTAGTCAGCACACCCTCTCTCACTTTCCTTTTCAGTTATACCTTATCTTTATCATTAGTGCTTCATGTAATCCTACCTATGCAAATCCTTCATAAGGTTGTTACCTCTTCTTGTTGAAGCACATGAATTTAACTTCTTTGGTATACTTTTTCCTTTATACAGGGATCTCTATGCAAATATTTGAGTCTCCATACAAGTGACTGGGTAAGCTCTTGCCGGTTGGCTCATTCTGTGACTAGGGGATTGGCTTATCTGCACACAGAATTACCACGAGGAGGTAAGAGAAATAAAATTTTAATCATATTTTAGAAGAAAAGCCATAACTTATATTGTTAAAATATGAATATTAACCAGTTGTTTGAAAGCTTCATTATCAGGAAATATACTTGAATATAATAGAAAGAAAAGCAAGCATGGATTTCATTAAGAATTTGAAGACTTTCCTTCTAAAAATATGCATACAGCTAATTTTAGAGAAGATTTTTTAGGGGGAGTATATTTCAGTGATAGAATGCTTCCTTAGCTTGTGTAAGGCCCTACATTTGATACCTGATATAAGACCGGGCAAAGAAAATCCTAGAGGTTTTTCAGATCTCTTGAAGTCTAATTGTGAACCTTAGGTTAATATTCTTAACTAGGCTATATTTTCCTTGTATTTATTTTGTTTATGGAAATAAATTACAATGTATTAGTTTGAATGTTACTTGAATTTTTTATTACTTAAGTTGTAATTCTCAAGCATCTTTTTATAAATTCATATCCTGCTAGCTAGAATCGAGAGGGAAGATATAACAGTGGTTTCATTAATAAAGAAAATTTTTGCCAGGCGGTGGTGGCACACGCTTTTAATCCCAACACTCGGGAGGCAGAGGCAGGCTGATCTCTGTGAGTTCGAGGCCAGCGTGGTCTATAAGAGCGAGTTCCAGGACAGGCTCCAAAGCTACAGAGAAACCCTGTCTCAAAAAACCAAAAGAAAAGAAAGAAAAAAGAAAAAGAAAATTTTCTTCTTTCTCATACACATAGAAAAATCTCGAGGGTCAGGCATGGTGGTGGCAGGACCCTGCTTTTAAAAAAAATAAATCTAAAGAGGTCGATTAAGTTGGCGTATACTAGTTACAATCCTCATACTCTGGAGGTTGAAACAGGGGGATTGTGAGTTGAAGGCCACCCTTGACTGCAGAGTGAGACCTGTCTCATAAAAGGAGGAGGAAGAAACAGAGAGAGGACTGAGCTTACAGGCCAGTGGTAGAGCGTAGTGTGCGTGAGGCTCTCGGGTTCAGTCCCCAGCAACAAACAAAACCAGAACCTAAAGTGAGGGTGTCAAGGACGGGTTTGACAGCATGATATTAGACACAAGGCTCTTGTATTTTTCTGTACCGTCCCTTTACCTATGGATCACATTTTATAGTTATTTCCTTGTCCTCTGTGCTATATTCTAGGTAGGGAGTTGTCCCCTTCCACCTTCAAAAGTTCTCTTGTGTACCTGTTTTATTTCTTAGAACTAATTCATTCTTACCCACTGGAGACCAAGAATATAGTTGTTCTGTTTTGTTTTTGTTGGGTGGATTGCTCTTCAGGCAAGGTTGGGTTCTGTTGTTAAACAGGGATGGAAGGCAGTGTTGGCCAGTTATTTTCAAACTGTATTACATCCCCTGTTGTAGCTTATGCCTTCTTCAGCTTTCGTGAGTTCTTTAACTAGTTGTCCAGAGCACCTCTTTTAAATACATTCACTTTCTCACTTTGTTTCAAAATATACTCACATCACAGGCGCCCCTAAATTAGTGTGTCTGTGCTTTCTCAGGTTTCCACTCGGGGACCACATTTTGTCACATTGTAACCGTCGCTGTTCCTGTAGTGTCCCTGACCTCGATAGAGAGGAGACTTAATGTATCCGTTTCTTAGGTCTTTGTTCCATTATATAATAGCATGGATCATCTTTTCTAGCTGATGCTTCATATATAAATAATTTCTTCTGAATAATTTATTGGCTCATTTACTCAGTGTCTTTCCTTGGGCACAAGACTGACCTGATATTGCTGTGTCAGCAGCCGGTGTGCTTGCTTCGGTGTTTTAGCCGTAAGCCATTGGACTTGTTCCTTACTTTAGATATGATAACTCCTTTAGAAGCTGGCTTAAAGCAGAATTTAAAATATCATCCTGATTCCCCCTTTCAAGGTTTGCAAAATTCAGCAAGGTTTTAAGTCATATACTAGCTGAAATTTCTTTGCTTAAACAAAGAAAGATTTCTCTCAAACAGTGGCTTTATTCCTAGCACCCTGGAGGCAGAGGCAGGCGAATCTCTGAGTCTGAGGCCAGCCGACATAGTAAGCTCTAGGACATCTCACTGAATCAGTGAGTGCTGCTCATGTGTAAATGTCCTTTAGGGCTGACCACTTGGGATTAAATAGCCAATTAGGGGGCTCATTCTATGGAAGAACGGATTCTCTCTCTCTCAGCTGTCATTAATTATCTTAGCTCTTTACCTAGAATGAAGCTGTGTCAGATTTCCCCCATTTTTGTTGGCCTATCCCCTGATGTCATTGTCCAGGTCTTCTTTCAGCTACCGTATTGTTGGGATTTTATGGGTGCCGCTTGCCTGTCCTATGTAGAAGATTGTCTCTTACCAGGTGTCCTGGTCCTCTGGCTCTTGTGGTCTGTTCACCCTTTCGTGATGTTCTGAGTCGTAGGTGTAGGTGTTGTGTTGTGCTTAGATCAGCTGGGGCTTGGTACCTGCTGGTGAGTCGTTCTCCACATTTTGATCAGTTGTGGCCTTCTGTGATGGTCTCCATCTGCTGCAAGAAGTTTCTCTGAAGATGATAGTTCCACTGAGACCAGCCTGATTTACATGAAACCCTGTCTGAAAAACCAGCCAACCAACTAACCAACCAAGCACAACCGTGGAAACAAAACAGAAAGAAAGAAATGAAGAGGAAAAAAAACTCGCTTGTGTCAACAGTTAGAACTGTGTTTACTGTTATATTCAGTTGAATGTTCAGTGCTTGATTAACTGTGTATGTAAAAGGAGTTAGTTACTAATAGTTACCCTTGGATAGTATTAATAAGTTGAAATTGTGAGGTTCTGATTTGGGTTGTGACACCCATGTTGGTGTCAAACTCATGATCTTCCTGCCTCTACATCCCAAGCGCTAGGATTGCAGGCGTGTGCCTTGATAATCAGGTTTCTTTCCCCAGCCCCATATTTTTAGACAGCTATAATGGGTGGAAAATAGTTCTATCTTTTATTTACATGTATGTAGCGCCTGTTATCTCATGTTAATATCATTCCCAATAATTCTACCTAAGCATTAATAAGTATTTGAAATTATCTAAACAGATCATTATAAACCTGCAATTTCCCATCGAGATTTAAACAGCAGAAATGTCCTGGTAAAAAACGATGGCACGTGTGTCATCAGCGACTTCGGTTTGTCCATGAGGCTAACTGGAAACAGACTGGTGCGCCCAGGGGAAGAGGATAATGCAGCTATAAGCGAGGTGAGTCCATAAACATACACTGATACTACAAAATCGTAACACTGTAACAGTTAACTGTTAACACTGTTAGCTACAGGCTGTTAGGGTTAGACATTAGGAACTACCGAATACATTTTATTTTGAAAAATTCCAGCTCGTTTGAACAAACATTAGGGAGAAATATCTAGGAATTGATTTTTTTTGTTATTAAAGGGAATTTATTAGATTGTGTTTTCTGTTGGTTTGTTTTTTGAGTCAGATTCTCTTTATACGGCCAAGTTTGGCCTTGAGTTTACTGTCCTCTGAGGGTTGAGATTTCAGGCAAGTGCTACCCAGACCCAGCCAGAATTGATTTTTGAAGCAAGAGTAAGGTTATCAAGTTTGAGATAGGAAAGTCTACTCTGTGGTTACAATGTCGACATATCTTTCCTGACCCTTTTCTTTGCTTCACATACATAGATGTAGGTAAAGATTTGCAATTTTTTTAAATTATTCATTTTTTTAAAATTTTATGTACATAGTGCTTTGGCATTTTCTCATCATGTTTGATAGTTTTTGTTTTGCATTATTGACTATATTGCAAAGATGGGCAATGAATTAGACATTTAATTATAGAACAGCCTGCAGTCTCTTGTTTTTTTGTTTGTTTGGTTGGTTTTGTTTTTTCAAGACAGGGTCTCTCTGTGTATAGCCCTGGCTGTCCTGGAAGCTCTGTAGGCCAGGCTGGTCTTGAACTCACAGAGATCCACCTGCCTCCCAAATGTTGGGATTAAAGGTGTGCACCAACATAGTCCAGCTGGATTTTTAAAAGTTGGTAAAGGAACGCTTACTTTGTTCTCTCATAGGAACACTTACTTTATGTTGAGAAGGGAGAGATTTTTAACGTACAGTGACCTTGCTTTGGGTTGAGTAGTTTCATTAACAGGAGTAAATTAAAAAAACAAATTAACTTTATTTTATATGCATTTGGTATGAAGGTATCAGATTCCCTGGAACTGGAGTTATAGTTGTGAACTGCCATGTGGGTGCTGGGAATTGAACCCATGTCCTCTGGGAGAGCCACCAGTGTTTTTAACCACTAAGCCATCTCTCCAGCCCCAACAGGAGTAAATTTTACATGTGATTTTTGGGCTAATGTTTGCTCTTCAGGATATGTTGCATTTTATTTCTTTAAAATAACACTCTTAATTCACCAGGTTGGCACAATTCGCTATATGGCGCCAGAAGTGCTGGAAGGAGCTGTGAACCTGAGGGACTGTGAGTCTGCGCTGAAGCAGGTAGACATGTATGCACTGGGGCTGATCTACTGGGAGGTGTTCATGAGATGTACAGACCTCTTCCCCGGTAAGAACCACTGCTAATTTATCAGGGCTTCGTTTTTAACTCTTGGTTTGTTTTGTTTTTTCTAGGCAAGGTTTCTCTGTATAGCCTTGGCTCTCGTAGCACTAGCTTTGTAGACCAGGCTGGCCTAGAACTCATGGAGATACCCCTTCCTCTACTTCCCAAGTGCTGGGATTAAAGGTGTGCCATCATCACCCAGTGATTTGTCAGTTTTTAAAAGTGATACAGTTGTATCTTCTTTCTCACTTGGATATAATAAATTCAAGAAAAGAATCTGGGGGCTGGAGAGATGGCTCAGAGGTTAAGAGCATTGCCTGCTCTTCCAAAGGTCTTGAGTTCAATTCCCAGCAACCACATGGTGGGTTACAACCATCTGTAATGGGGTCTGGTGCCCTCTTCTGGCCTGCAGGCATACACACAGACAGAATATTGTATACATAATAAATAAATATTTAAAAAAAAAAAGAATCTGGTTTTAGAGAAGTATATAGAGGCCTGAAAAATAGATTAGCAGCCAGGAACTTAAAAGAAATTGAGGTTATAAAAGACCCAGTTTCTCGCTTTTGGTATGGATCAAGAGATAGCTCTAACTACTTCTTCAGCACCATGCCTGCAATGCCCGCCATGCTCCCTGCCATGAGGATAATGGACTAAGCCTCTGAAACTATAAGCAAGCTCCTAATTAAATGCTTTCTTTTATTAAAAAAAAAAACTGCCTAAGTTATGGTGTCTCTTCACAGCAATAGAACATTGACTAAGACAATCATAAAAGTTAAAAAATAAAATAAGTGCTTCAGTTATCTATCAATATTCCTTTCTAAACTTCTCCATAATTAGATCATCCTTCTGACTTAAACAACATTTCTTTTAAGTTTTAGTTTTTCTTTGGTGAGTGATGTTTCCGTCTCTCCTCTTAAATTTGGTTGCTTGTTGTACTAAATCCTGGCATTTTTCTTTATTTTCTAACATGAGATCAGAGTTCAGGCATAAGTTTAAGTATTCCTTATAATATTTCACTCCTAAATTTAATACCAGTCAAAACCATTTTAAAATGCCTATCTAGTCTGAGATACAACTCCGTGGTAGGACACTATCCAGGGCTCAGTGTTGAAGAATGTAATTAGACTGTTCCAGGCCTTGAGTTCAGTCCCCAACAGTATTTGACAGCTGTGTGTGCCATCAATAGGTACTGTTTGCAGCTTACGATGAAATAATTCTGACTTTTACAAAATGTGATAAAGTTAAGTGCATTTATAAACAGACTGAAGTTGGGCGGTGGTGGCACAGGCCTTTAATCCCAGCCCTCAGGAGGCAGAGGCATGTGGATCTCTGTGAGTCTGAGACCAGCCTGGTCCACAGAGTGAGTTTCAGGACAGCCAAGGCTACACAGAGAAATCCAGCCTTGATAAAAACCAATAAAGAATAAATAAATAAACATACTGAGCTATACAGAAAACCCCATACAACTAATACATAAAAATCCAATGGCCTACGACAGGATTCTCAAATTCCGATTGCTGCGACCCTCATGTTTGACACCCCAACCATAAACTCAGTTTTATTGCTACTTCATAACTACAATTTTACTACTGTTATGATCGTCATATATTTTTTGAAATAGAGGTTTGCCAAAGGGGTCACAACCCACGTGTTTGAACCACTGGCCTGGAGGAGACCTACAGTCTTCCTGGCTCCTTACCACTGCTCTACGTATTAAAATAACAAGATAGATGAGAGGGATGGAGGCTCGGTTCTAATCTTGGCTTCATCTCTTCCTTGGTAAAGTCACTTAACTCTTGTGTGCTTCAATCTTCCTGTCAGCAAAGCAGTGCTGTCTGCCTCCCTGTCTCACTGGCGCAGCAATAGAGCTGTAATGACCAGATGGAAAAGCTCCACAAAACACGGCAAGGTTTTGTTTCTATTTGAATAGTCAAAACCATCTATACATTCTTACCCTCTATCAGTATTTTTTAAATTTACAAAAATTGTTTTTTTTATGCATCAGAGCCCGAGTTATTAGAATACTTCACTGTTTTAAAAACAGGGCTTAATACTCTAGTACATACTTACCATGCTTAAGGCTTAGAGTTTTATCCCCAACACCAAAGAATAAGATAAGTAAAATATCTGTACAGCACTGAAACTATTTCATTTATCAATAAAAATTGAGACTTCCAAATATTAATAGACTAAAACAACAATAAAGTGTCTGAAATTTGCATGTATGCTTAAAAGGGTTTAATGCATATGATTTCTGTTTATTTGATACTGGAAATACCTCTGTTATTCTATCTTCTATGATAATTAGAAATTCTATCATTCTTTCTATAAATACACAGGTGAATCTGTACCAGAATACCAGATGGCTTTCCAAACAGAAGTTGGCAACCATCCCACTTTTGAGGACATGCAGGTTCTTGTGTCGAGAGAAAAACAGAGACCCAAATTCCCGGAAGCCTGGAAAGAAAACAGCCTGGTAAGAAAACGAGGACTTCTGACTAGAACTGGATAAGTTTAAATGTGCTTGAAGCAAAAAATAGAAGCCGCCTAGCTGTGGTGATTCATGCCTCTGCCCCACCACTGGGTAAGGTGACAGGAATCACACATTCAGGGCCAGCCTGGGCTTCAGTGTATCTAAAAAGTTAACTAAAGTAAAAACATCAGAATTGTGTTTATATAAACATCTTCTGTACAACACAATACTGAGCTTGGACTCATAGGAACCACACAGACTACTTCATTGCTTTAAGCTCTTGCTTTTGGGAAAGCTTATTTTAAAAACACCATCCAGTGGATTCCCTGGTTCCTTGTCTTTTTTGTTTTTTCTCTGTTCTACTCAAAAGAAACATTTTTTTTTCAAATCTTTGTCTTTCTCTTATAGATAATTTTCTTCTTTTGATGAAGTTTTGTTTAAGTATGCACATTACTATGTGTGTTAGGTGTTAAAACATTACAAATCCTTGCATGTTTAAAAACTTTCCATCTTAGTATCACACATGAGTAATAAATCACCAGAGTAATGGTTTCCAAGTTGTGAAGACCTTCTCTGGCCTGCAGTCTTCATATGAGAATTTGGATGTGGGCCTGTCTTACTCCATTGTTGGGGCAGGTGAGTGTGTGCTGTGGTGCACGTGTGGAAGTCGCATGATAGGGCCCCTCTTCCGCTGCACTGCTTCTCCAGTGTACCTGGCCTTCCGGGCAGTTCTGTGTCATCACCCGTCCACAGGACACGAGCTGGGTTCCAAGGATTGAACTCAGAGCTCAGGTTGTCAGGCTGCCATGAATAGTCCTTGACCCTCCCACCCATCTCACACAGACCGTCGCTGCTTTTTGTTTTATCCTCTTCCTTCCTTCCTTCCTTCCTTCCTTCCTTCCTTCCTTCCTTCCTTCCTTCCTTCTCTTCCTTCCTTTCCTTCCTTCCTTCCTTCCTTCCTTCCTTCCTTCCTTCCTTCCTTCCTTCCTTCCTTCCTTCCTTCCTTCCTTCCCTGTTTCTCTCTGTCTCCGTCTCTCTTCTCTTTCTCTCTCTCGATAGGATCTCATTAAGCCCAGATTGCCCTTAAACTCCCTACACAGCTGAGAATGACTTGAACCCTCCTCCTCCTCCTCCTCTCATCCGTTGACTGTCTTAGTGGTAGTTCTTTTGATGTGCATAGACACCACGATCAAGACAACTTAGAAAACTTTTAATTGGACTGGGTGGTGGTGGGCACGCCTTTAATCTCAGCACTTGGGAGGCAGAGACAGGCAGATCTCCTCCATCGAGGCCATATCTCCAAATCCTTCCCAAATAGTTCCACTAAGGACCAAGCATTCAGATGTATGGACCCGTGGGCCATTCTCATTCACACCACCACATTGGAGTTGCAGGCACGTACCACCACATCAGGGTTTTGGTTTTTGTTGTTCTGTAAGCTGTTAAAACTTACTTTTCCATTGCAGTTTTGAATTTTCACTTGGGTATATGTTAGCGCAGACCTTTTCACACATTTTTCCTAGATATTGAATAGATTTTTCCATTTGAAAATCCAAAACTTTCCTCATTCACGAGTTCTCTAGTGTTTGTTTGTTTTGACACAGATTTTTCTCTGTTTAACAGTCCTACCTGTCCTGGAACTCGCTTTGTAGACCAGGCTGGCCTTGAACTAGAGACCCACCACCCAGTTCTAGCTTTTATTTTAAAATTATTTCTTTCCAGCTGGGCAGTGGTGGCGCGTGCCTTTAATCCCAGCACTTGGGAGGCAGAGGCAGGTGGATCTCTATGAGTTGGAGGCCAGCCTGGGCTACAAGAGCTAGTTCCAGGACAGGAACCAAAGCTACAGAGAAATCCTGTCTCAAAAAACCAAAAAAGAAAATAAAATATTTCTTTCCTTACATTTCTTTATCCTTGAATTCTCATTATACTAGTATTGAACCGCCTAACATTCCAAGTCTGAATCCCCCCCCCTTTCTGTTGTTTTTTGTTTATCTGTTTGAGTTCATACTAACTGTGTAGCTGGGGATAACATTGAACTCCTGCCTCCGCCTCTGAGTGCGTGTGCCACCGTGCTGGTTTACGTGGGTTTCGTGTGTGCCAGCACTCTGCCAACCGCGCTGCGTCTCCAGCTTCCGTCTGGTTTTCAGTGTTGTTCTAACTGTTCAGCATTTGCTCAGCTTCACCTTTCTTACTAACAGTGTTTTATCAATTGTTTGTTCATTATATTTTTAATTCCCTGGGGTGGCAGGATGGCCCATCAGGTCAAGGCCCCTGCCACCTAGCTTGATGACGTATCTCAGTTCCTGGAACCCACAGAACCTCATAGAAAACGTCTGTGAGATCTGAGTGTTTGTTATAATCAGTCGCGACCTCCTCTCCTTACCTTGTGTCATCTCACTGCGGTGACGAAGGGCTGTTCTTCTGAAGTGTTTGTCGGCAACCCTACCGTTGTGGGATGTGCAACATACACAGATTTACCTGACAACTCTTTACTTCTAATTTAGATGAGGTTGCTAAGTAAGGGACTTTTAATATTTGGTTTACATCCAACAAATCCATTTAAACTTGATATGGATGGTATAGCCAAAAGAAAAGAAAGTTTCTCTGCAGTAGCAATACAGTTCAAGAGTTAGGGAGGAAGTGTATAGTTTATTAATGTGATTAAAGGTTTATTAATTCTTTAAAAAAGGAAGAGCTATTTTAAAAAAAATGCAGTTCAGGTGGGCATAATGGAACATTTTTTTAGTTCCAGCAGGGGGGGAGGCGGATCTCTGAGTTGGAGGCCAGCTTGGTCTACACGGTGAGTTCCAGGACAGCCAGAGCTACATAGAGAAACCTTGTCTCGAAATAAACCAAACCAAAGCAAAACAAACAAAGATTATTGACTCTTATACTTACCTGTAATTACTTTTTAAATTTCAAGTTGGAGAACCCTTTTAACTTATTTACAGAGCATGTCCACAACAATGACTTCCCCTGATTTGATAGATAGATAGATGGGTGATAGATTGATGATAGGTAGATACATACATTAAAAAAAAATATTTTTAAGGAATTGTTTTCTTAGGCCAGACATGGTGACACACCTTTATTACCAGCACTCAGGAGGCAGAGGCAGGCAGATCTCTGTGAGTTCAAGGCCAGCCTGGTCTACAGAGTGAGTTCCAGGACAGTCTGAGTGGGCTACAGAGAGAAACCCTCTGGAGGGGGGGTCTTAATTCAGTTCTTCATCTGTTGTTTTCTTAGTTCTTTGGTTCACTTGAAATTTTTTGATACCTCTAATACTTGTACTTCCTTGATTTCTGTTAAGATTTTATTTCCCTGTAAATGGATAACACATTCTTGTTTCTTTGCATTCCATTTGGGCTTTTGTTTATTTTTAGGCGGGATTTCATGTATCCCAGTCTTGTCTTAAAGATTTCATTCTAAGATCAAGAATATCCCTGAGATCCTGACCTTCTGCCTCTCCCTCCCAAGTGCTAAAATTTCAAGTACAATACTTGGTTTCCTTTGTAATTTTTTTTGTTTGAAATTGGACATTTGGGGCTGTAGCTGTAGCTTAATTAAGTCCCTGAAACCTAAAGAAATAAATAAACATTATAACAAATAATAAAATAAATAGCTGGGTATAGTGACATGCTTTTTAATCCCAACACTTGAAAGGCAGAGGCAGGCGGATCTCTGAGTTCGAGGCCAGCCTGATCTACAGAACTAGTTCCAGGACAGGCTCCATAGCCACAGAGAAACCCTGTCTTAAAAAACCCAGATAGATATGGTATGCAGAATATAAATAAATCTAAAAGAAAAAAGAAAAGAAAACAACCTCCCAAAAAACCCAAAACCATACTTATATATACAACCTGATTTTCTTTTACATTCTAAATTAAAACCCTGAACACAGTTGTAAACAGTATGCTCTCTGATTGTGCTGTAGGCGGTGAGATCACTCAAGGAAACGATCGAAGACTGCTGGGACCAGGACGCAGAGGCTCGGCTCACGGCGCAGTGTGCTGAGGAGAGAATGGCTGAGCTTATGATGATATGGGAGAGAAACAAGTCTGTGAGCCCAACGGTCAACCCCATGTCTACTGCCATGCAGAATGAACGGTAAGACCCTGGGGCTCATGGCTGTCACTTAGCTGTAAAGGACAGGAAACAAACGCTGCTAAGTCAGCCTAGTGATGCGATAGCTCCTGTCGTGCGAGGCTATCGTCGTTTTTCTTTCTGGTACTAGCTCTTGTAGACCAGGCTGGCCTCGAACTTACAGAGATCCGCCTGCCTCTGCCTCCCGAGTGCTGGGATTAAAGGTGCGCCACTACCACCCAGCTTTAAATTGTTTTCTTTGTAAGATTTTTTTTTTAATTTATTATGTTTGCGGTGTTCTGCCTGCTGGCTAGAAGAGGGCATTAGATTTCATTGCAGATGGCTGTGAGCTGTGGGTGCTGGGAATTGAACTCGGGACCTCTTGAAGAGCAGCCAGCGCTCTTAATCTCTGAGCCATCTCTGCAGCCCCCAATATCCCTAGTGGTTTTTTTTTTTTTAAGATTTATTTTTGTTATTTTTAATATGTGTGTGGAGGTGGAAGCAGGGATGGGCACGAGTTTGGGTGTCTGGAGCCAGAGGCGTGAGGATCCCTCTGCAGCTAGGATTTTAAGCAGTTGGGAGCTATGGAGTAGTGAGCTGAATTCAGGTCCTCTACAGGAAGAACACCTGCTCTTGAGCACAGAGCCTTCTCTCCAGCCTCTCTGTTTCCATTCTTGTACGGAAAATATTTATGTGGTGTGAATACAAGACAGAATCTGTAATTTCATATCTAAAGATACAGTAAAAGAAATGACTCTTTATTAGTCAGCCTGGTCTACAGAGCAAGGTCCAGGATTGCCAGAGCTACACAGAGAAACCCTGTTTGAAGAAACCAAAAGGGGAGGGGGAATTAGGGTAACTTACCTTTAATGTTAAAGATAAAACATTCTCATAGTTGTAAAAGCTTATAACTTGTACATGTACTTCGTGTTCTGTCTTTTGTTTATTGGTGTTTTTATTTCGTAAGCACATGTGACTCTCGGGTATCTACTGCTGCTGCAGTGGACACGACTTGTGCACTGGCTCTCCAGCAGTGCTTCAAGAACACACGATACTTCTCTCTGTCCTGTGAGACATTTCCTTTGCTACAACTATACCTTCAGATCCCAAATAAGAAGGCTTTAGGACTGGAGAGACAGCTCGGGGGTTAAGAGCACTGGCTGTTTGTTCTTGCAGAGGACGCAGGTTCCATTCCCAGCACCCACATGGCAGCTCACAGCTGTCTGTAAGTCAGTTCCAGGGAAGCTGACACCTCACACCAATGCTCATAAAATCAAATAGAAGTGCTCTGCCTTTACACGCTTCAGAGGAGTCTTCTCCATCTTCTGTGTTTCCGCTTCCCTATCGTCTAAAGTCTGCAGGTCATACATCTGTCGGTGGTCAGATGAAGGGATACAGAGAGGGCTCAGTCAGAGCCCTGCTGCTCTCCTAGCAGACCCTGTTCCCTTCCCTGTTGTCGGTTGTTTGTACTCTTGAGGCTCCCCTTCTTAGTTAGGAGTGTCCAGCCTTTGCTTGGCTTGTTTCTTGCCTGCTTTTCTTATATTAAATTATCCCACCTACCTTTTTCCTCTGAGTTTTTATCTTTCTTACTTCTGAATATCTTACTTCCCTTCTTACGCTGTGGCTGGGTGGCTGTCCCGACCTCCTCCTCCTCCTCCTCCTCCTCCTCCTCCTCCTCCTCCTCCTCCTCCTCCCCCCCTCTTCTTCTGTTTATACTCTCACCGTCAGCCCCGCCTATCCTTGCTCCTGCCTTGCTATTGGCTGTTCCGCTCTTTATTAGCCCACCAGGTGTTTTAGACAGGCAAAGAACCACAGCTTCACAGAGTTAAACAAATGCAGCATAACAAAAGCCACACACCCTAAAATAATATTCCCCAGCAGTTCCCAGCTCCCATCCACATTGTGGTTCCTAACCATCTAACTGCAGTTCCAGGGAGTCCAGCTCCTTCTTCTGACCTCTGCAGGCACTGCAGGTGAATACTTATATACATAAAGTCTTTTTTTTTTTAAAAAAAGAGTCAGCTGAAGCTCCTACTTTAAATACTTTTGAATTTTTCTTGAGTGATTAAAAAAAAAAAACCAACTCCTAGCCTCTACTTTTCTAACTTAAATGATCCCGTTTCTCTTTATGTTTTGCCTCTGGATTTTTTTTAACTTTCTTTCTATACATCTATATATTCTATACATCTTTCTTTCCTTCTTATTCCGTGGCTAACCCCTGGCATCCTCCTCCTCTTCTTTTCTCAACCCTCAATCTCTTCCCTGGATTTCTCCTGTTTATTCTCCTTACGGGCCAGCCCCACCTGTCCTTTCTCGTAGCTATTGGCCATTCAGCTTTGTTCCTTTATCCGAGTGCGTCTTCTGCTCATAGCTTAGCGATACAGAAACTTACACCAGTAGTGGCTCCTGCAGAAAGGTGTGTTCCATTGTTAGCATGTGCCTATTGGTTGTGCATATACTATTGGACCTAGAGCTACAGAAATAAAAATAAACGTATCCCATGGTTCCTCTGTTTACAAAACAATGTTACTTGTATAGGTGTATAATTCATAAAAGATGTATTTGTTGATATTATAAAATTATAGGTGATATTTTTGAAATTAACTCTTTTATTTATTTTTTGAGGTGTTTTTGTTTGTTTATTCAACACAGGGTTTCTCTGTGTGGCTCTGACTGTCCTGAAACTCACTCTGAGACCAGACTGACCTCGAACTCACAGAAATCCACCTGTCTCTGCCTCTCAAGTGCTGGGGTTAAAGATGTGCACCACCACTGCCCGGCTTGAGATTTTATTTTTATTTTTTGTTTATATGAGTGCCTGAATGTGTGTGCCCCATGTTCCTGCAATGCCTGCAAAGGCCAGAAAGTGTCGCTGGGTCTCCAAGGACTGGAATTAGAGGTACTTGTGAGCTGTCATGTAGGTGCTGGGAATCAAAGAGCAGCTGAGCCTCTTAACCACCGATTCATCCCTCCAGCCATTAAATTAACTCATGTAAGCCAAAACAAAATTTGTATTCAGCGAGCCGTTAACACTACCTCTTAACTATGATTTAAGAGTGAAATAGGCCGGTGAGATGGCTGGGTGGGTGACGTGCTCACTGCCAAGACTGACAGCCTGGTTTGACTCCTGAGACCCCCGTGCTGGAAGAGAAGTGACTCCCACAAGTTGACGTCTGCTCTCCACACATGCCCAGACACACTGAATAAATACATGCAGTAAAAATGCAGAGCACAAAATAAGAAGCAGTTGGACTCTGAGATCTAGTGTTTACTTGGAGTAGGCAGTTTGTTGTAGGTCTCTGTTCCCATGGTCATTCCTTTTCTTTTCTTTCTTCAAGCAACCTGTCACATAATAGGCGTGTGCCAAAAATTGGGCCTTATCCGGATTATTCTTCTTCCTCGTATATTGAAGACTCCATACACCACACTGACAGCATTGTGAAAAATATTTCCTCTGAGCATTCGATGTCCAGCAGCACGCCTTTGACTGTAGGAGAAAAGAACCGAAACTCAATTAATTATGAACGGCAGCAAGCACAAGCTCGGATCCCCAGCCCTGAAACAAGCGTCACCAGCCTGTCCACAAACACAACCACCACAAACACCACGGGCCTCACTCCAAGTACTGGCATGACCACCATCTCTGAGATGCCGTACCCAGATGAAACCAGTCTGCATGCCACGAATGTTGCGCAGCCGATTGGGCCGACCCCTGTCTGCTTGCAGCTGACGGAAGAAGACCTGGAGACCAATAAGCTAGACCCAAAAGAAGTTGATAAGAACCTCAAGGAAAGCTCCGACGAGAACCTCATGGAACACTCTCTCAAGCAGTTCAGTGGGCCAGACCCCTTGAGCAGTACCAGTTCCAGCCTGCTGTATCCACTCATAAAGCTCGCAGTGGAAGTAACTGGGCAGCAGGACTTCACACAGGCTGCAAACGGCCAGGCGTGCTTAATTCCTGATGTTCCGCCCGCTCAGCTCTATCCTCTCCCTAAGCAGCAGAACCTGCCTAAGAGACCCACTAGTTTGCCTTTGAACACCAAAAATTCAACAAAAGAACCCCGGCTAAAATTTGGCAACAAGCACAAATCAAACTTGAAACAGGTAGAAACTGGAGTTGCCAAGATGAATACGATCAATGCCGCAGAGCCTCACGTAGTGACGGTGACTATGAATGGGGTGGCAGGGAGAAGCCACCCTGTTAACTCCCATGTTGCCACAACCCAGTATGCCAATGGGACGGTGCCGTCTGGCCAGGCGGCCAACATAGTGGCACAGCGGGCTCAAGACATGCTGCAGAATCAGTTTATTGGCGAGGATACCCGGCTGAATATTAATTCCAGTCCTGATGAGCACGAACCTTTACTGCGACGAGAGCAGCAAGCTGGCCATGACGAAGGGGTTCTGGACCGTTTGGTAGACAGGCGGGAACGGCCCCTCGAAGGGAGCCGAACTAATTCCAATAACAACAACAGCAATCCGTGCTCAGAACAAGATGGACTTCCACAGGGTGTTACAAGCACAGTTGCAGATCCTGGGCCATCGAAGCCCAGAAGAGCACAGAGGCCCAGTTCTCTGGATCTTTCAGCCACAAATATCCTGGATTGCAGCAGTATACAGAGTAAGTGTCCTTTAGAGTCTTTACAGAGTGACTGAGCAGCAGTATACAGAGGAAGTGTCCTTTAGAGTCTTTACCCTGTCACCTCCAGAGACAGAGTGACTGGGCCTCGGAAGGATTATTGCAATTGCCTGCTTAATCTATGTGTTTTTTGATGGCTTCTTTATGATGTGGGTCATGTACTTGTTGTGACAGAAGAGGTTAAATCAGCACCTAGTAAGGTCAGAGCACCAGGTGGCAACATTATGCTACTTTTACTTCTAAAGCATTTGTTATACATAATCATATGTTAAATCTACTTTTAGTTTTAACTTAGTAAGTCTTTATATGTATTTCGTTTTGTTTGTTTGTGACAGGTCTCTGTTTGTAGCCCTGGCTGCCCTGGAACTTGCTATATAGACCAGGCCAGTCTTAAACTCACAGTGTGCTGGGATTAAAGGCTTGTGCCTCCACACCCAGTAAGACCTAGAAGTCAAGAGAAGTCTCAGGAAGCACTGAAGTTGTTCTTAGTCCTTAAGTGCCGTCTTTATTGAGACTCGCACACAGCAGATAAACTGCAGCGTGCTCCCTTGCTCTATGAGGTTACAGCCCAAGACAGGAGAGCTCACCAGGATCTCTTAACAGTCATTACTAGGTAAAATAATTCATTTATGAACCCCAGCACTCAGGAAGCAGAGGCAGACAGACCTCTACGTTTGATGAGGACAGCCTGGTCTACAGAGTGAGTTCAGGACAGTCAGGGCTACACAGAGAAACCTTGTGTTGAAAAGGAAAAGAAAGAAAAAGAAAAAAACAAAATCCTCGCCCGTTACTTAAGTGGTTTATATTACAAGCTAGTTGACACACCTTGTTTGCTTCTGTATCCAACGAAGCCTCTTGTCAAATATGAGAACAGAGAATTATGGGGAAATGTTCGTCCCTGTAAAACCATTACATGTTAAAGGCCTTTTGAGTTTGGTCCACTTTGAGCATTTTTTGTTTTGCTTTGTCTTTTTTGAGATAAGGACTCACTTTATAACTCATTGTGCCAAAGGCTGGACTGGAATTCAATATCTTCCTGCCTCAGCTTCCTAAGAACCTGGAGTTTCAGGAGTACATCACCCACTTCATACCTAGCCCACCTTTCAGCATTAAGTCGAATGATAAGTGTTTTTAGCAAGTTGGAGTCTGTACCAGAGCAAGAGGATTTGAAAATGCAACAAAGATGAATTTTCTTGCTGGGCAGTGGTGGCACACACCTTTAATCCCAGCACTTGGGAGGCAGAAACAGGTGGATCTCTGTGAGTTTGAGGCCAGCTTGGTCTTCAGAGTTAGTTCTAGGACAGCCAGGGCTACACAGGAAACCCTGTCTCAAAAATTAAACAAACAAAATGAAAAGAATTTCGAATTTTATCAGTTCTTGTGAGATGTATTTTTTTTAATTATGTCTCAAAAATGAGTTGGTTGAATTTTTGCTTAGGAAAATGTTGTCTAGCATCACATATTTCAAGAAATATCCGTCATTTGGGTCTGTAGATGCCGGCTGAGCCTGTGCGTGACATTGTTAGAGTCTTGTGTAGCTCAGGCTGGGCTCTGTAGTAGCTGTGGAGACAAGGATAGTGTTGAGCTTCTGGTCCTCCTGCTTCAGTGGTCCTGGGACCAGGCTACATTGTATCCAGCCAACCCTGTCCTGTCCTACAGCTCATCTCTGTGCTTTTGTTTTCAGTAGGTGAGTCCACACAGGACGGCAAATCAGGATCAGGGGAAAAGATCAAGAAACGCGTGAAAACTCCATACTCCCTTAAGCGGTGGCGCCCCTCCACGTGGGTCATCTCCACTGAACCCCTGGACTGTGAGGTCAACAACAATGGGAGGGACCGAGCAGTCCATTCTAAATCTAGCACTGCTGTGTACCTCGCAGACGGAGGCACTGCCACCACCATGGTGTCTAAGGATATAGGGATGAATTGTCTGTGAGATGTTTCCAATCTTATGGAGTGAAATTATTTTTTTGCATCATTTAAACATGCAGAAGACATTTAAAAAACTGCTTTACCCTCCTGTCAGCACCCTTCCCACCCTGCACCAGAACTCGCTTTAAATAGATTTCAGCTATGCAGAAAAGTTTAGCTCATGCTTCCATATTTTTTAATTTTGTTTTTTAAGTTTTGCACTTTTGTTTAGTCTTGCTAAAGTTATATTTGTCTGTTATGACCACATTATGTGTGTGCGTATCAAAAGTGGTCTCAAAATATTTTTTTAAGAAAAAAAAAACAAAACCAGTGTATTGCTGATAATCAGTTTGGACCATTTCTAAAGGTCACTAAAGCAGAAGCAGGAGACGGGCCCGACTGCAGTGGTGTCCCGGGCACAAGCTCGTTCATGTGTCATCTGTTGGACATTCTTCTCTCGTGTTTTATTTGAATGTGCAATAGTCTTCAGACCACAAAGAAGCTTTCTTACCAGCTCTCCCCTAGCAGGGCACACATTCTTCCACTGTTGAAACTTGTCCCCCATTCTTCGATAAGATGAACATTTTCTGGCTTCCTCCTTAGGGAGAATGCATAGATACTGTTCCAAGGGCTCCAAAAAGGACTCACCAAGACCTTTCTTGAAATGCCTTTGTCTTTTAGCCTTCCAAATACTAAGTGTTTCCTTCCAGGCATTTTAATAGGCATATTTGGTTCTGATTTTGGAAGTTCATAAGAGAGCATAGAACAAAACAAGAAAGCAAACAATAGCTGTTTCCATTTTATTTTTTCTATGTATGTTCATGTTCCATATTCGTTTATTTAATAAATACTTTTTATCAGAAAATTTATAGAGCTAAACTTATGTGGAATTTTTAAGTAAGTAGATGGGCAAGGCGATGTAGTGTAGGAACTTTGGTTTTTCTGACCATCACAAATTAAATTACATTTCCTATTTATAACCTCAGAAAAACTCATAGTTTTGAATTTATAATATCTTTATTGTTTCCCAGCAAAGCGTGACAGCTTTATGTGAAAACGATTCTTCTTCCCATGACCTAAAACACTGTGTGGAAAGCTCAGTCAGCCAGCATGCCCAGTCCCGTGGAAGAAGGGCTTGCTGCCAGACTAGGACTATTGAGACAGCTAAGATTTGCCCTCTTTCTTTCGCTTTCTCTGCTAATCCTGTTTTCATGATTTCTCCCTTTGCCAATTTCACATGATCCTCGACTGTGAGCAGCATCTATTACTCGTGTTGTGGCAGAGCCTGCCTTCTGGTGACAGCCTACGGTGAGGCCACAGTCGCTCGCTCTCCACTTCTCCTTTTGTCACGAGTGATCCGTAAACCAGGCTCTGTCTTTTAATAAAGCACTTTCTGTCCGATTCGGATTTTCCCTAAACATTGTTTCCCGCCAGTTTGCAAACAAATGGTTCTCATGTTTTCAGATGCTCAGAATTCTTATTATGCATTATCTGATTAAGCTTTAGGTTTTTGCAGGGGGAGGTAAAAAAAATTAAGTGTAAGTCTCCAAATTCCTGATCTCAGTTCTCGTGTCCTGAACACCATTTTCTCATTTGAAATCCTCTACCCTCACGGTTTAACTAAAGACGGCCCCCTTTCCCAGCACACTGTCCACAGCACTTGTGACTTCTTTGACTTGCCATCTGCTGCGCTGCTTTGATGTGACAACATTTAAAACATTTATTCAGCTGGGCTGCTGACTGGAGTTTCAGTCCTTGGATTAAGATGGTCTTATTCTCCCGGGACCCCTTTTTCCTCTTTGTGCTTTCTTGGCCTCTCTTCTGGGTCAGATTTGTCTCGTTTTGTTTTGGGTTGGGTTTTTTTCATGACAGAGCTTCTCTGTGTAGCTCTGGCTGTCCTGGAACTCATTCTGTAGACCAGGCTGGCTTTGAACTCAGATTCTTAAAATAAATTTTGTCTTCTCACATCAGTTTATTTCAGATAGTGACCATTTTTTTTAATCTATGTAACAAATAACTTTTGTCTTTTACTTCCTTGTCTGTCCAAATGTCTTTCAGATGCATTTCAGGATTTTTGTTTTTTCAGTTGTCGGACAACTTTAAATCAAAATAAATTATATTCCTTCTATCTCTGAAGCACTGAGAATAAATGACCCCTGGAGGTCCAGCTGGTCTTTTTCTGTCAGAAAACTGCCTTACATTCTAATAGTTTGTGTTAAGGCCAATCACTTGTGAATTTCCCAACAGTCTTTAATGGTTAATACATTTATGAAATGCTTTAAAAAGTAGTATGCCAGGTTAAAAGAGAAAGGGAATCGTTTCCAATCTCATGCAGATATGTTTAAAACAAATAATTTCTTTCACTGATACATGGTAACTGCTTGACAAATAGGAATAGTAGAAAGCATAGGTCCTTTTAATAAATGTTGGAATTTATAATACAGAGCACTCAAAAATCCCTTTAATAACTTAAATTACTTGTTCACTTTATCTGATTCTTGAAGCTGAAACTGAATTTACCGAAGATTTCACATAAAAATTAATGTTGGGCCTTTTGATTAAAGTCATTCTGAACAGTATTATAATTTTTAAAGAATCACAACAGGACATTTTCTTTAAAAAAATGCCATTTGTGGGGCTGGAGGAGCAGCAAGGCAGCTAACAGTGGTTTCTGCTTTTCCGAGGACCCAGGTTGAACTCACAGCAGCCTAATTATGTATAGAATAAAGTGATTTAAACATTTAAATGTATAATTTAAAACCACTTTTACTGTGGGCATTATGAAAGGACATACTCTGAAAACTGGCATCTACATGCACTGTATTTTCATCTTCACAGCAACCATATTTTAATTAATTTCCATACTTTACAAACAAGGAAACATTAAGAGATGATAGCTAATTTGTCCAAGTTTACCTAGGGTGAAATCCCAGGTTCGTTTCTACACATCTCTTTCATCCACACGGTCTACATCCTTCGTGGACAGATGTGTGATACACTGACATTTTTGCTCCAGCAGACTTGTGGCTTGTATATAAGCCACACCAGATAACTTAATGGTTTGAGAAGTTAGGTAATCACTATTGCTTAAGAGACAGTTACTAATTCAGTACAAAATTTCAGCCTACACCCTAAAATCATGTCACTTTTCTTCTGATACATTGCAGAACTGAAGGCAAAGCCAACTTTAAGAGAAAGGTGAAGGAAGCTGAGGGAACAGAGACCCTAAAGTGATCCCATATTAGATTTGGAAAAAAGTTTAATATAAATTTTCAGTCTTCTCAACCCTTTGACCCCATCTGTAAAATTTCGGCTTTAGCAATGTTAGAAAAATGTTAAGTCAGAGAACCAAATAAAATGTATATGATGTAGAAAAACACAAAATTAATACCCATTATTATTATTAATATTAATGTTTTGCTTTTTCGAGACAGGATTTCTCTGTAGCTTTGGAGCCTGTCCAGAACTAGCTCTTGTAGACCAGGCTGACCTCGAACTCACAGAGATCCTCCTGCCTCTGCCTGCCCGGCTGCTAATACCCATTTTTATAAAGCAGGTTGTCATAGCTTCCTTACATGTGTGTATTTGTTCCAGAAACTGTATGTTGGTTCTGAATGGGAAGGTGGAGAAGGGACACTCAAATAGTCAGTCAGTTTTTGACAGATATTTTTATTTGAAATATTTCCAAGTTTGATTTCTGAATCCCAAAGGAATACCTGGTAGGCTGCAACTGTTAAATTGCACATTTAGTCTCTATTAACAAGTCATTTAAAATGAAAAAAATTCAATAAACATTTCTTGTTTCCATATTTATGGATATGAATATTTCATTGCGAGACCCTCACTAGTATTTGATATTGTATTTTATTTTATACCATATTTGTAAAGCCTATGTTGAACTTAGTACCTGTCATGTGTATGTTATTACATGACTATCCACAGATTTTTTAAATATATATATATATAAAATTACTTTATATCCTTAATTCCTTAAAAGATAGATTCTTCACGCATGCTAGCTGATGTTCTAGACCTGCGATTTCAGGAAGTGTGTGACACTCCCTCAGAGACCCCAGGAATCTTTTCTTAAGCTATGATAACTTTCAATATTCACACCCTTGACTAACAGCGGGGTGTGGTGTTTTTTGTTTTCCAGAAGATAAAGTTGCATTTTAACCTTTTTGTTTAGATTATGAACTATGCAAACTTTGTCCACAAACTACCTTACATGATCCCTTCCTAACCTTGCTGATTGATTAGGTCAGGCTGGCTGGTTACGTCCTGGGCAGGCCTCCCCCTGTGTCAGGAGAGTTTTCTTCATACCTGTTCTGTCTCTCACGTGTGATTTGTGTGTTCCTCATACTTCACAGGGAAAAGAGAATAGATGGTCGTCCTCTCTGTTGCTCTTAGTCAGCTTCGGGCTTCTCGGCTAACCCTGTTCATCAGATAAAATTGCCCCAGTTCCTTTAGGTCTTTTCTCCTCATCTATTTTAATGACTTTATTTATATTTAAAAGCACATAAAATTCTATGTTATATTCAAGTGAATTGTTCCTGTTAATTTATAGCACAGCAGTTTGATAGGATTCAGAATACAGATGTTGCCATTTGACATTGAATTAAATCATCATACCACCCAAAATTCAGCACTTAATATTGTAGTAGTTACATTTCTATTAAAGTGTATGTTATGATTTTATATCTGCACAGGTAGAGCTAAAAAGCCATGCATGTAAGCATTTGTAATTGTGTATCATTTTTACTAAACTCGCACCATGTCACAGGGAGTTTTAGTATTACGATTGAGCCGCAACAAATATTGTACATTTTTCTTCATATCAAATACTGTATTAAACACTAAATGCAAAATTAACTTTCAAAAGCAGACCCTACAAAAATCAGGTATTATCCATGCATATTTTTGTATTTTTGTAGACCACTTTTGAATGCTTACCATTGTTTTTCCAGCATAGAGTGGATGAATGGACTGAGACAATTTTTATTTAACTTTCAAGTAGTTAAAGTTGGGTGTTTGCATAGAAAGTAAATCTTCAAATTTTATCTCATGGCATATAGATTTGAAAGTAAATATTCAAGAGGCTATACTATATGTTAAAATTATGCCCCCAAATAAATCTATTGAATCTTCAGTAGAATCCCAATTTTATCATCACTATGGTGTTTGAGGTGTTTCTAATGAACGCTGTAAACACACATGTTCATTTGTAAAATTTAGTTTGGAGCCCACATTAAAATCCGGAGCAGAAGGAATCTTTAGAACTAAATTGCTTCATTAGGATATCCAGTTTGTATTTTAAAGAAAATTGACTGTACTTGAAACTACAACTTAACTGTTTCTTCTTTTTAAAAGACTCCCCCATTTTATTTGTGTTTTAAATTTCAGAAACATCTCATGGTTTGAATCACCTTTAGACATAGTATTACCTAAAATCTCAGGGCGCCTTCCGTCTGTTTGTACACGGATACCGTCAGTTGATAGCAAACAAGCAATTAGGTCTAGCTGGATATTTAAAAGTGTTTGTTGCATAGTAATGTGTCATCATATTATTTGACTTAATTCACATCAACATGGTATTTGATTTCATTAATCATAAAAACTTGCCCAGTTCTGTAATTACTGAATAGAAGGAGTGACTCAACCAATTGGCCGCATGGTTTGGCGGATTTAAGCCTTGGAGTTAAAGCACCGGCTTAAACACTTTCTGTTCTTGGTTCCATGGTTACACGTGATGGAGCCAGTGTTTCGTTTTGGTTTGTGGGTTTTTTTTGTTTTTTTGTTTTTTTTTTAATGTAAGAGAGCTTAGGAAAAGTAATTCTGAGATAGAATTTTCTTAAGAGATAATTAGCATTATAAAACTTTCTTCTGAAAGTGAGGTCATGACCGCAGCTGTAGTGATGGCTTTGAGAAGGTGATCTATGGCAACCGGTTTCCACACTGGCAGAGCCAAACAATTTTTCTTTAAGTCAGACAAACTTAAGCTCTAATTGGTCTGCTGTCTGTTTAAATCTTCGCAGTGGAGTTGTCTTGGGCTCCCTGCCTTGTTATCAGTCTTAAGTATATAAAAGAAACACTTGTAAAGATGTATAAGAGTAAGAAAACTAATGACTAAAAAATGCAATTCAGAGCAATTAGGTTTCAATTCAATATTGAGTTGCTTACTTCCGTGGCTTTTTTTTTTTTCCTGGTAACATTTATTTATTTAAGCGACGTAGTATGTTATGTCTCCATATCTATAGAGATTTATTGTGTAAGTGTTTGTGTAAGCTGGAATCATCCTGAATTTTCTGTTGCTAATTTTTCCAGTGAATTTCATGGATAACTGTAAAATACACTAACTCTTAGGTTGTTATAGCTGAAACGTGGAGATGTATGTGTGGCTGCCATGTTTTTTCTGAACGGACAGGAGAAACACCAGCTGCCGAGTATTCACCTCTTGGGAGGCTGGCGAAGTCGGCTTCTCCTCGGAACCCTCTTTCTTGTTAACGGGTATCTTCTGTTGGTGTATTTTGTTCTTACATTACAGATAGAAAATCGTGTGTGAGTTTATGGATAATTACTTTCAGTTATTTTGCTTTTGTATAAGCCATCTGAGAGCTTGCTATGCTGTAAGAGTTGTGTTTGATGGAGCAGTGAGTACGAGTTAAAGCAGATCACTTTCTTTTGTATTATCTATGGATGCCACTATGAACGCTGACATTAAGCCACTAAAGAGTTTTCTATGAATAAGTGTAAGTAAATGCTTTGATATATATAAACCTAAATAAAAAGATTGTATTGAGACAGAGACATTGGCAAAGGAAGTTTAAGGCAGTTCTTTAGGTTTAAAAAGGCTTGCTGTAAAATGGTGCGTTATTCCATTTATTAAAGATCATATTAATGACATTAAGTGTATTTTTAAAAAGACCTATTTATTTTGTGTTCATTGGTGTTTTGCCTGTGCGTATGTCTGTGCTAGGGCGTGGGATCCCCTGGAACTGGGGGTTGTACTTGTTTGTGAGCCGCATGTGGGTGCCGGGAATTGAACCCGATCCTCTGGAAGAGCAGTCACCTCTCCAGCCCCATAAGTGTGTTTTCTCATCTCATGCAGTCTGCAGAAACTGCCGTTGCTAACGTGATATCGTAGAGACTTTGCAGTAGAGTCGGTTAACTGCTCTTCGTGACTCGGTGTGATACAGAACGTCAGCTTAGTTAGAACCGCAGTGCCGCTTTCAGGTGCTCAGCATACGCCAGGCACCGTCTTACTTACTTACGCACAAATGCCTGTTCCCTCTCTCGTGAGAAAATAGAAGTTCAGAAAATCCCTTCAAGCTCAGAGCAGGTAAGTGGTGAGTGGAAACCCAGTGATCCTTTGTTTTTTTTTTGTTGTTGTTGGTCCCCCACCCACCCACCCAGGAGGCAGGAGGATCCGCGGTGCTTACTGGTCAACCATTTGAGCCCAGCCAATGAGTTTCAGGTTCAGTGGGAGACCTAGTCTCAAAAATTAAGAAGCAAATTAAGAAGACTCCTTCCTGATGAAGCAAATTAAGAAGACTCCTTCCTGATGCCAGGCGGTGGTGGCTCAGCCTTTAACCTCAGCACTCTGGAGGCAGAGGCAGGCGGGATCTCTTGAGTTCAAGGCCAACCTGGTCTACAGAGCGAGTTCCAGGACAGGCTCCAAAAGCTACATAGAGAAACTCTTCTCAAAAAAAAAAAAAAAAGACTCCTAGCATTGACCTCTGACTTCGATGCACACACACCACAGCGAAAAGTAGGATTGAGACGTTAAACAGAATTACAAAGTGAGAGGGGAGAGGGATGATAGGCAGGGATGCAAGTCTGGACTCACTCCGGGAGTCGGAGAAAATATAATCAGGTTTCAAAGCAGCTAGCCCTCTTAGAGGATGAAGAGTGGCTGGGCTGAGGGGGGTTGTGAATCAAGTCATGCAGACCAGCACCTGCAAGAGATGACGAGAACCCACACCAAGGTGGAAGCGGGGCAGTAGCAGACCAAATCAGAGTTACCCAGATCAGAAGGAGCCAGCGTCTGGGTCCCGGTCAGGCAGGGAAATGAACGTCTCTCATGGAGGCAAGAAAAATCTCAGCGTGTTCAGATGACAGAGAGGTTACCTTTAGGAGTTCTGATATATCCTGTTATTAAATCAAATGTTCAAATTTGGGACTCCAAACACATACGTAGTCACTGTCCACCTATTATTTCTGTAGAAATGTTTCAAAAACAGGGCTTTCCTGAGCAAGACATACGGAAAGTCGATTTGTTTTAAGAAGGTCCATTTTTAGATGAACGCCTTGATAGGTCAGCTTATTACAAGTAGTACGTTAAGGCCTTGGGGGGGGGCACTCTAGTCTCGCCCTTTAAAATAAAGAACGGCCTTAACTTAGGGATGTGGGCACATGACAACAACCTCACCACCCTGGAGGTGGATCTCTTAGTTTTAGGCCATCTTTGTCTACAGAGTGAGTTCCAGGACAGCTAGAGCTACACAGAATCCCTGTCTTGAAAAAAAAAAAAAATTAAGGCCAGCAGCCAGGGATACCTGACAAAAACTGTTTCAAAAAAATTAAAGAAGTGAGCTGACCATACAAACCTGGTAACCTGCGTTTGGCCCTCAAAGAACTGACTGAAGTTATCCTTGGATGCACCGTCCATAGCCTGGCATGCCCACATTACTACGACATACACTTCTTTTTCTTAACCTAAAGTGGGTCGGAGCACCTTAAAAAGCACAGCAAGGCTTGGCAGAGGTGACTCCACAGACGCGCTTTGTGTGCAGGAGGCCAAAGAGAAACGGCAAAGGCAGAGTTGTCAGGAAGTGGAAATGGTGTCACGCAGCTTTCCTTCCTCGCCTTGGACTCTTCCTTCCCTCCTGTCTTAACTGGGTAGGGAAAACTCTACCCGAGGAAACAAACAGCCTTCGTTTCTATGCTTCTGGGTTCACCTGTATATTTTATTGTGATAAACAGAAAAAAGTGACGTTTTTCTTTCTTAACAACTTTTTCCATAGCATTTAAATATCGATCCTTTATGTATGATGTCATGGAAAATAAGCTTCAATTCCTAAGGGGAAAAATATTTAAGCAAGTCATGCAGAACCTCAGGCCCTTTCATGTTTTATTTTTCAGTCAGTGACTTTATTAAGCTGGCTTACCCCTGACACTTGGTGACGCCCTCTGTACATTACTTTTCTCATCCTGTGTCCAAACACCGGGGGAAAAAAGCAACGTGGAGGAGGACCTGTTTATTTTGTCTCACAGTTTCTGATAGAAGAGTCATGGCAGCAAGACCAGTTCCTGCCCCTAGTAGTGAGTTTGTGGCAGTGCTTGCCCATACCTTTGCGGGATGGAAGCGGAGAAGTGGTTGGAATGGGATGAGCTGTACCCATAAGGTCTCTGACCAGTAACCCACTTTCTCCACACAAATGTTGGAACACTTGGGCCTCTAGGGGACAGTTTGCATACAAACTGTATTACCCCTTAAGAGTCATTTGGGGGCTGGAGAGAGCTCAGCAGTTAACACTGGCCACCCTTCCGGAGGACCCGGGTTTGATTCCCAGCACACATGGCAGCTCACAACCATCTGTAGCTGCGGGTCCAGGGAATTGAACACAGTCTTCTGAGGACGGCACATATGTGGTATATACACATACATGCAGGCAAAGCAGCCATACACATAAAAATAAGATGGTTTTTAAGTTGTATCTTTCCACTTCTAGAAAAGTGATTTTGAAAGAACAGCTGTGGCGGCTGGAGGCCTATAATCCTAACACTTGGGAGACTGAAGCAGGGGGATAGCAAGTTTAGGATAACCTGGAAAATTTAGCAAGAGATTTGCTCTCTTAACACCAGATTGAAGCTCAGGGGAACAAGATTCACTTCGGGAATGATGAATTGGCTGTAATATCAGCACAGGCGATGTCTGTAGGGTGGTAGGAGGCCTCACCTGTCACTAGCTTGTGAAGGTACAGGATGGTACCTTTGAGCATCTGAGTGGCTGTGGACATGTCTTCCTGCACAGCCTGTGTGAGTATGTGCCGGCAGAAATGTTTGTTTTCTTGAAATGCTACATTAGCAAAACTACTATGTCTGCAGTATCAATAAAAAAAAGATACAAGATATATAAAAGTAACGTTTATAAAGGGCTAAAATGGGATGATGAAGTGCTTACCTAGAATTATGAATTTCCGGGTTTTCCCTCCCTAGTATTGTGGGTGGTGGGGGTGATAAAAAAAAATGATTTTTTGGTCTATCTTTTTAACTTTTTTTTTTTTTTTAAGACTGGGTTTCTCAGCCGGGCGATGGTGGTGCACGCCTTTAATCCTAGCACTCAGGAGGCAGAGGCAGGTGGATCTCTGTGAGTTCGAGACCAGCCTGGTCTACAAGAGCTAGTTCCAGGACAGGCTACAAAGCCACAGAGAAACCCTGTCTCGTAAAACAAAAACAAAAAAGACTGGGTTTCTCTGTGTAGCTCTGAACTCTATACATACATGCACATGTAAGTCAGCCAGCCATAGGTCTTAGGTCTTCTGAGTTTCTCTGAAAGCAGTTTGACTGCACAGCATCTGTGGGGTAGGCTGCAGGATGTGTGCATGTGGAGTTAAGCTGGGCAGAATGAACACGGGGCGGGGGGAGTGTGGCTGTGGTGTGTAGCTGCACCACCCTCAGCCTCCATTCAGAAGAGTATGTTTTCAGGTATGTCACACTTCACTGTTACCATTCTTGCTTTTGCTCATCACCTTTAGTAAAATGAGAAATCACGCAACCTTCACGAATCTCCATGGATGTAGGAAAAGGAGGCTCTTCAGATTGACGAGGAAATTTTGTCAACCTTGATGACAGAGGTCAATTGCAATTTTATCATCAGGCCAACACCCAGCCATGATCTGCAGAACCAGACGTCACCACTCCTGACAGAACTCATTCAAGCCGCAGTTACCCTGCAGGAGATGGTAATGAGCCAGAGCAGCGCGTCCTTGTGCCACCTGGCCCCTAGGTGGCGCTCTGAGTTCATGTTCTAATTGCTGGGTCGTTTTTCCTTTCAAAGATTTGTCAAATTTTGCTTGTAATGTTTTCTCTGGGGGGATGGATGTCCAAAACAGAGTTTCTTCCTTTGTTCCTAGCTGTCCTGGATCCAGCTCTGTAGACCAGGCTGGCCTCGAACTCAGAGACCCGCCTGCCTCTGCCTCTTGAGAGCCACAACCGCCTTATTTATTTATTTATTTATTTATTTATTTATTTATTTATTTTGGTTTTTCGGGACAGGGTTTCTCTGTGGCTTTGGAGCCTGTCCTGAAACTAGCTCTGTAGACCAGGCTGGCCTCGAACTCACAGAGATCCGCCTGCCTCTGCCTCCCGCCTTTTTTATTATTACATTTATTTGTGAGTGTGCTCACAGGTGTCATGCCTGTATATGGAAGTCAACAGACAACTTGTGTGAGTTTGTTATCTACTCCTACCATGTGGGTCCCAGGATCCAACCGCAGAATTGGAGGCAAGAACCTTTGCCCCCAACCTTCTTACCGTTGTCCCCTAATGTTTTTATTTTGATTCCCCAGCTAGCAGGGCAGGCCCCGAGAGCACAGTGTACATTAGGTTCAGTGCTTTCCAGTGGCTGAAGGTTGAGCTCGGTGGAAAGTCTACACGGGTTGGCCCTCTCCAGAAGAGCATAGGCTAAAGCCAGATCTCCGGACGTCACTTGAGTTTGGCAAAGAAATGTAAATTACAATTTGTTTGTGTATGGATGTGTGTACATCTGTGTGTGAGGGCAGTGTGTGCTGGGCACATGCATGAAGGATATCGGTCCTCACCTTCCACTTCGAGGCAAGGTCTCGCACCTGCCCTACTACTCCAGGTGAGCTGGCCTTGGGGCTTCCTTTGTCTCTGCCTCC